CTTGCGCCGATAATATATTCCGTCCCAGTTTGAAAACTGCTGAAGTTAAAGTTGTACGTTAAAGATTTTGGCTTAAAATAAAACAAAAACTGGCTTATGGGTTAAACTGGTGTTGTAATTGATCGTACATAATTTGAAGTGTCTTCCCCCCCCCCCCCCCCCCCCCACCCCACCGAAAAATGTGTTAAAAGAAACACCAATTAGGGTTTGTCTTTTGTTAAGAAAACTTGCACGAATCTGATATGCCTGTACTAGAAATGAGAAAAATATGTGACCTTAACCGTATCCCAGACTTTATGATGAAGTTAGGAATGGGATTTTGCTATGATTGAAAACTAACTATAGATCTCAGAACATGTGTAAATCGAAGTTAACTTCTATTTTATGGGATAGGAGTTTAAATAAGTTTTAACAGTGGTTTAGAGTTTCGTTTAAGATTTACGAAATTTTACTTAACATTTCACTCTAACAAAGGTAATCGATTACAATCACGCAGTATCGTCCGGCCGATCCCCGATGTTTTTATAATATCAACCGAATTCGCTCGACATCCATGGGAGATAATCACCGATTACTGTTTCCTATTGACCAAAGATTTGAGCTTCGGAATCCAGACTTTCCCCGCATTGATTTCCCTCTTCCAATTTGGCATGTATTCTTCCGCCAGTGTTTTTTGTCTAAATAAAAATATCTGGCCACTCAGTGGATATTTGAATGGGCCAGCCTCGTGTAATTTGATAAAGTCATTAGCTTTTCAACAGGGGAAGCTCGCAGTCTTCATCAGAAGGATCTACACGACTGTCCTCTTTAATTACACGAAATAGCAGATCCGTATAGATTCTCCGTATTGTTTAATTAGTTTGTCTTGTATTTGAAAATATACAAAATCGTTACTTAATATCCAATCGACGTTACTTACACACAGCTCCTCTCTGATAATCCTTCTACCAAGTGACGTAAGATGTTCTGTATTATGTAATGAGAGGCGTAGCGACCCTTACCGGCGCCCGGGGACAAACTTTCGATTTGAACCCCCCGCCCTCGAACTTTTAATTTGCACCCCCCTCAAACTTTCAATTTGTTTTTCCAACCCATTTTGGCGCCCCCCCCCCCCCCCTTAAGGTTGGCGCCCGGGGACATATGTCCCCCCAGCCCCACCTCGCTACGCCTCTGGTTATCTTGTGGGGGTGGGGGGTGAGAAAGACCGGAAGGGTTCTCTTCTACGCTCCTGATCCTACCTCTATGTAAACAAAATAAAACGCGTCTAAGCATTTTATAGTAAAAAAAATAACAATATTATTAAGAAAGTTGATACCAATAGATACATTTTACTTCCTCTGCCAAATTCAGTATCAGTTCAAAAATGTACTATGTGTTACATAACTAATTTTTAAAGCAAAGTAGACCTTTTTTGTTTTTTAAAGAAAAGTTCCAGCTAGTCTTTTTTTTTAACATTGAAGTTCCTTTAATTAAAAAATTTCCTCTGTGTACTAACCTAAAGAGCTGAAGATTACAAGCTTATCTTCAAAGCTAGACAGTCAGTCCATCACTATCCACCCAGCACCCCCCACCCCCATCTTTCCCACCCTCCCCTAACGCCATTACATGTAACGGTGGACGAAAGAAGATGGAAACACAATAAACTCTACACCGTAAAAGCGATGCCCCGGTGCTATATCCACCCTTGACCGCCCTAATAAAATCACCCGCTCCAATGCGCAACAGAACGAGCAGGCTAAACGTAGAGAATCTTTTTTTTTTGTCTTCACCGTTTTTCTTCAGATGAGCACGAACCTAACCTCTTTCTAAATATAGCTCTTATGTTTGTATTGAAAGTGAGGATTACACTGAACTTACATTCTACATAAATTATAAATTAGTTGCAAATGTGTTAAATGTATACCAGAGTGTTAAGGTTCTTTAAAATATGTTTATTTTTTGAGAAATTATTACTGTTATTTGAGATTATTTTATTATAAAATAGAATCGTCAGTTATATGTAGTTTATTTTACACCAAACTTGTATAGTCAATTATTATTGTCAAAGTTAATTTGTTGAATTCAAAACCCATCTGTTTAAATTTGTTTAAATTAGTTTACAGACCATTCCTAAAGTTTCTAATTTTATTTTTTCGTAGGTGGTATTATGTGCTTTTCATAATAGTGGTATTAAGTGCTTTTCAAAATATCAAAAATTACAGTCGATCCGACTCTTATAAGGGTAAAAGGTTTGTATGGGTGGTATTGGGAGTCTTAAACAACAAAAATTATTTTAGTATCTGGATCTACCACATTATTACATTTTTCGTGCAAAAAGAATTAAATGTATATATATATATATATATATATATATATATATATATATATATATATATATATTTATAAACAGGGATAGATAGATAGGTATATAGATGTGTGTGTGCATTTTATGTTTTAACCTGTACGTATTGTATGTCATGTGCCTTTATTTGTGTGTGCTGTTGTATGTTGTAGTACTCACCTTCTATCAGAAGTAATATCAAAAGATCCAACACGTAAGAGACAACCATGGCGCCTTAGAGTCTAATCGGCGCCTGCACTTCTAGAAAACTCGACCTGCATGGGTCTGGGTTGCTTGTTGGAGAGTTGTGTGGGCTAAGTTGAAAGCTCTGTGGAGATAGAGATAACATCTTTGCTCACTTCAGTTAAAACATTACACTGTTTAATTTAATCCTTACATTGTAATTGACTTAAGTAAACTTACCTTCTTCGCGTACAATGATTGTGTAGCCATTGTGTGCTAATTATAACCTTTGTTGTAAATTAATAATGATTAGATCTCCTATCTATTAAGTGTTTTAAACTACATTCGCCCCTGAAGTATACTTTCGTATCAGTTAAAACTACACAATTAGTTCTCAAATAAAATATTTAATGTCTTGTTGAACTTATAATAAATGTTTAAGCTAGTCTTTTCATGTTAATCAGATAATCTTGTTTTTGAAATAATCTGAGACGCTGGGTAAATTAAGTATGTATTGTTTTTTTTTTAAATCACTTATCCTATCAAATAGACACAATACGTATAACGAGATAGGACATTTATTTGTATGTACTGAATCTAACCCTTTATGAAGATTCGTTTATCGCATACGATAAAGATACAAAGGGATTTCTGGGTGTGATGTACTGAGTTTATTATGCAGTAAATCCGAGATTTCGGTCCTGTGTATTTTTTTAATATACACGTTAACACGATACAATAATTACATGAGATATGAAAAATAAAGAATAAGCAAAAAAAAAAACGAAACAATAAAAGATTTCTATGTTAACTAGTTGCATGGAGTCCTGGCGTTAATGAGATTGTAGTAAACAAGTGAAAAACCGGTTTATTAGCTGATTCGTAGAGCACATTATTTCTAGCTTAAAGACATTGAGGGTTTACTGTTTGAGTTATGGAATTCACCCAGCTATAACTAGTACCCGAAAATAGTTGGGGAATTAAGTATATCACTTCATGTGTTTTTTTAGAAGTTAAATTGAAGATCTTAGTGTGAAACTAACAAACAACATTATGATATAAATGAGATTAAAAATTAAAATTGGTTATAAAACTTAATTTTTTGTTGTTGTAGGTTTCAAAGAGGCACGTAAATACATTCTTTACTATTAATATTTGTACTTTAGATACTATAACGACAATTGCTTTGTTTCATTTTCTCAAAAATGTGACTCTAGTATGTTTAGCTCCTCCATTGTAAATATATACAATATGTATCCATTTCTATTAAGCTCCAATTTATCATAAAAAAAAAAAAAACTTCCCACCCTGTCCTTCAGTTATGTTGAGGCGACACAACAAGCCGAGAACTAATAAATTACTTACCATTGGAGGTGTTACGTGGTGCTTTTGAATTAGCGCTGGGTGCCAGAAAGATAAAGGGAGACAGCTCTCTCCCCTTTCATCGGGTCGGGTAAATTACCGGAAGACGAGACGTTAATTATCCGGGCTGGTTAAGTCAGGGTTAGGTTTAGTGTCGGTCTCTCGCTTGACGTGTGGGTGATGTTTCTGAGGTGTGGGCCCTGGGTAGGAAACAAAAACAGAAACAAAATAGAAAGGGTGAACATATTGATTGGTTTTGTAGGGGTCGGCGTTGTCGAGTCGGTAAAGCTCACGGTTGCTAAACCAAAAAGACTCCAGTTTGAACTCTCAGGCAGATGAGGCTCGTTAGCTGGGGACAGCCACAACTCCAAAATCAAACAACTGCTGCATTGTTGTTTGTTCTTGGTTGGACAAAGGCTATGGAAGCAACAGAGGCGTAGCGAGGGGGGGGGGCGGGGGGGGGGCATATGTCCCGGGGCGCCGACCTTAGGGGGGGGCGCCAAATTGAAAGTTTGAGGGGGGTGCAAATGAAAAGTTCGAGGGGGGGGGGGTGCAAATCGAAAATTTGAGGGGGGGGGGGGTGCAAATGAAAAGTTCGAGGGGGGGGTGCAAATCGAAAATTTGCTCCCGAGGGGGGCGCCAAATTGAAAGTATGTCCCCGGGCGCCGGGAATGGTCGCTACGCCTCTGGGAAGCAAATCCAAAAAGAAAAGCAGGCTGAAATCGGAGTCAATGGCCTCAATGGCGCATAACTAGTTGATACGTATCCTTAATTGTGATGGAAGCGTGGTCGAGTCAAAAGCTCATGGTTGATAAATTCGAAGAAAAAAAGATTCGAGTTTAAACCCTCTGGCATATTAGGCACGATCTCTTCCAGCACTGAAAATTAAGAACGAAGAAGAAGAGTGAACATATTGATTGGTTTTGTTAAACTATTGTGTGCTAGTGAAGACAAGGAGATGACGTGAGTCGATTGTCATTGGCGGGAATTCCCGGTCGGTTGATGGGGGTGGAGTGACGTATCAATTGATGGGTAGAGACGGATTTCCGGTGTAGAAGGGGGGGGGGGGTGATTGTAGATAAGTGTTGAATGATTGTTTGAAGATAAATGATAGGAGATTGTTGGGAATGTAGGTAAGTGTTTGGGAATTTTAGGATTGTAGATAAGTGTAAAGGGATTAGTGGGATTGCAATTTGGTATTGAAGAAGTGGAGATTGTAGATTGTAGATTAATTTTTTTAGAGTGGAGGTATTGTTGATAAGCTTTTAGAATTGATGGGATTGTAGAAAAATGCTTGGGATTTAGGAGATTTTAGGTACGTTTTATTGGGTTGTTGGAATTGTAGATGTTAGGGGATAATTCGGATTGTAGATTCGTTTTGGGGATGTTGTGGTTGTAGATTAAAATTGGATATGTTGTGGTTGTAGATTAAAATTGGGTATTGTTGGAATTTTAGAAAAAATAATGTGGATATTTGGGATTGTATAAAATTCTAAATGATAAAATGTCTAATTGTAATCATGTTAATATGACGCTTTAAAATTGTGCTAGAAAAACCCGGTTTGATGCGCAGTTGAGCGATGTTTCTTTGACAATTAGCGTGATAACGTGTTGGCTTTGAAGAGGGAAATAATATGAATAGTAGTCCTGATAACACAAGAGTAATGTGAGTGTTTGTCTGTGTGTTGTTTTTTATTTGGGGAGGAGAGTGTTTAAGTGGGAAGAGGCAGTTTGTTAGAACTGAAGTTATTCAATTTAAAAAAAAAAAAAAAAAACCAACCAAAAAAAAACTTCTTTTGAAATAGCCTTACAGCAAAGTGTCAGTATATAGGAAACAATTATGAAGGATAGGATAACAGTTGGGATAGAAAACAAATGTCTGTGGGGTGGGGGAGGACAATACGCTGTGACATGACAGCCGTGGGATGACGAACAAAAGATGGCGGGGACTGCACTTCCGTTATGCGCGAAGAGGAAGGGGAGATTATAAAGTTAAGACAATATGTCACTTGGAAAGCTGCGTTTTGTCTTCCAAACGGAAATAATATGCATAATGCAATTTTATAAACTGATGGGAAAATCGTAGGTTGAGTTAGATACATTTGTATAGAACAGCAATGGTGCAAATTATTTATATTTTTGACACAAGACATAAATTCATTGTCTAATATAAACTTATCGAAGTTAATATATGTCACATCTTTTATTTCTTCTTTCAGATACTACTTAGACATTTTTAAAGTGGCTCCTCAATATTGAAGCAACCTCTCTAAAATCTTAAGTTGAGTTTGATACATTTATATAGAACATCAATGGTACAAATTATTTATATTTTTGACGCAAAAAAAAATAATTCATTGTCTAATATAAACTTATCGAAGTTAATATATGTCATATCTTTTATTTCTTCTTTCAGATACTACTTAGACATTTTTAAAGTGGCTCCTCAATATTGAGGCAACCTTTCGCATGTGTTTATTTTATAAGGAAAAAAATGGCCTTGGCAAAGATCAGCTTCTTTAAAAACAATGACCCACACGAACTCTAAATGTATTGCCTGCTTTTCACGGAGGCAATCCCACAATCTATTTTCGCATCGTTGTTTATTGATGCAAGCCACACATATATAATTTCTGTATTATTTTAGCGTTAAATATGTATATCTATTACGCTGTATAATTATGTGATGCTTATTCTCTCATACGCAATAACATTGTTGTCAATATTATCTCCCCTGTAGGGGCGTCTCCTCTAAGATGCAAACAAACTTCCGGTGTTTGCCAATATCTGGCATAGATATTTTAATTAATCAGGATTCGTTTTATTTAAGGCTTACATTACATTATCTGATTTGGAAATATAATACAGTATTTACATAATGTTGGGGTAATTTGGGGGACAAACAATAAAAAAAATTCAATAGAATTTTGTTTTAAGAAATTAAGAAAATTTTAAAATTTAATTATGTTTTAAAATTCTGAGGCGTTGGTTGTTAACTCGGCGAGGGAGAGTGCATGTTTGCTTACTCCGTAAGTCCCGAGTTCCATTCGCAGATAGATAAGTCTAGATATAAGGGGAGAGAAAACTCCAAAATGAACCGCTGCGTTGAAGACAGTTCTTGGCTGGACACAAGCTTTGAAGCATATCTTGAAAGAAAAGCAGGCTGAAGTCGTAGTCAACATGCCACATGACGCACACAAAATTGAGTTGGATAAAAATCCACACCAAATAAGAACGAAGATGAAAACAATTTAAAGATATTTAAATCAAGACACCACGTCATAAACGTTGATGAAACAAGCAACGTAGTTGACACACCGCAACCCATAATCTCATGAGACAAGCAAGACACAAATATGATAGAAATAAGACAAAAATAAGACACAAATAAGACACAAATAAGGCAGTAATAGGACACATTGAGCCAAATTTAAAGGAAACATAAAAACACGAAATAAGATATCTCAAGCCACACTTCCATAAAATCCAAGCTCATCGCTTCTCATTTTTTATAGCATTTTTTATTTATTTTCAAGTAATTCGGTATAAATAGAAATTGTATATTGTATTTTTTTTCTTTTAGGAGCAGTCATCTGAGTTATCGTGGGACGGCGTGGTCGAATGGTAGAGCGTTTGATTGCTAGCCCGAAGGTCTTGAGTTCGTTGGTCTGACTTGTGACTTTAGGGACGTACCTGAGACGACACAGCTCTGATGGGTACCTGATTACGTTGAGGAAAGTGAAGGCGGTTGGGTATAGTGCTGACCACACCATCCCTTCATAAGGCCAAGAAGCAAATGAACTTTAATTTATTTTAAATATGAATAATAATTTTTTTTAGAAAATAACTAAACAAGACAGTTAGAATACAATGAAAATGTTATGTTATAATTCCATTGTCTTTTAATTGTATTTTTTATTAAACTTCCAAAAATTGAGTTTGCTAACAGTATTTTAACCTTGATCTAATAATCTTTAACATTAACTACTCTATTCTGCCAATACTAACCTTAGTCAAACATCTAAATAAAACTCCAAAACATTGAAAAGATTTTCAGATATAATACTAACGACCCATTTACAATTTTTTTTAAATGTATAGTAGAACATTTGTAAAAACAAAAGCGCAACTTATAATTTAATTCTTTTAATCCTAAACCTAACATTAACATAGACAAATTTAAACGACAAACTGTAAAGTTACATTTATGACAATTTGTAAGCCTATATTGACGACAAACTGTTTACGACAAACTATAAGCCTACATTTGCGACAAACTACAAGCCTACATTTGCGACAAACAATAAGCCTACATTTGCGACAAACTGTAAGCCTATATTTAAGACAAACTGTAAGCTTACACCAGACATGAAAATAACTACTTTTTCTTCAACATCCTCTATCTTTCTCTCCATCTGAGTTTTCATCTCTCCTTTGTTTACATTTCCCCCTTCCGTCCATCTCGCGCCATGATTACTGCTCACTCGTCCGTATTCTCAGCTTCCTGTCCAGTCAAAACAGCGACCCCCGACCCCTTTTCTTTCAACCCCCCCCCACTACACATAATCCTCCACACTGACTCCGACCCCTAAATAGACCCAGCTCATTATAACCCCGAGTGAGTCCCCTGGTTAAATCAATACACCACCCGGTGATGTCCAGATTCAAGTATCCCCTGACACGACGCTGACCCCCTCCCCCACGCCTAAGTCGTGCACTTCCTGTAAACTGGACTAGTCTGTTGATTGCCTGCACGTCGCCGAGTGGTCAGTCTACGTGCTATTAGCATCAATCTTCATTATGTGCTTGACCAGAAAGGGAAGGTCATTATGGTGTGAAGTAAGCGTTTCGTCCTGGCTAAAGAATTAGCTTACACAGAAGGAACATTAAAGTGATTTAAATGTTTCAGCGTAGCTATATTGCTGCTATTAATTCTCTCCCTTGAACATTACAAAATCCATAAATACCAAAAGGCTATTAATTACTGTGTTATAGCTTCAAAAAGTCCATCCGTCCATCCATCCATCCGTCCATTCATTCATTCATTCATCCGTCCGTCCGTCCATCCATCCATCCATCCATCCATCCATCCATCCATCGATCTATCCATCCATCTACCTATCCATCCATCCATCCATTCA